TGCTGGCTGGAGAATGCTGGGAGTTGAAGTCCACACATCTTAAAGTTGCTGAGGTTGAGAAACACTGATGCAGAGTCACATCAAAAATGCCTCTCTTTATTTAGGGCAGTCTCATTCAGGCTTGTGTGCCCATTGGCAAATGCTCCAATAATTCTAGGAATATTTTGGAGATTCTCCTGATTAAACCGGGGTTAGAGGAGTGGAACACACCAAAGTACAAACATATGGGACGAGAAAGAAATGCCACAGGGCATTTCCCTGTCCCACACTTTTCTACATCTCATTGGTACCCTATTCAAAGGTACCTCAAAGAATGACTGAGTTGGAAGGTACCTAACTTATCCAACAAAGAGGCTGGGCATCTAACCAACCCCTTCCCCCATGGAAGAGTTTATGCCAGGGGTTGGCAAGCTTTTCATAGATCAAAATCTGAAAACGAATGAGGTTACTGAGATTTCAACAGTCTCAGCCCTTAGATCTTGCCTGAAACCCTGACGTTTCATGAAGTCTAATGGAGTGCTGCTGAAATCTCTCCAAAGTTTATTCCCTTGCCTGAAGTCTCAGAAAATACGCAAACCTCGTGAAATTATCGGTGTCTAAACTCAGGGTTCCACAAATATCATATGGCTGACACTGGTTTTGCAAGCATACGTGCATTTATCCAAGAGTCCAATCAATGAACTGAATGAAACTTTTAAATAAATATGTATCAGGGGAGGCTCATCCTGGAGAAAGCCTGTCTATGTGGTCGCTAAGAGTCAACACCGACTTGATAGTACATAATCAATCAATCAGTCAGTCAAGGAAGACAGAAGAGCCACAGTTGCTTAAATTCAAAACGAGGGATGCGTTTTCCACGATAAACATGCATAAGATTAAGCTAGACCTGCTGAGAGAGCAGCACAGAATTTTTTTGCACAATCCATCAATAAATCTCAGGCCACAATCCTACCACATGACACACTTCCTCAGAAGTAAACCCCCAGCCAACTCAACGGCCAACACTACATGCATCCAGGCAAGCCGGGGTGTCTACAGGGTGGGGTCGAAAAACCCAACTGTGGCCACAACTGTGCTCACTCCTGGGGCTAGGGCTTTGACTGCACAGTTGTGGCCACTGACGTGATTTTTTTTTTACAACCCCCCTCCCTTGACCGCCCCCCCTGGGCTTAGTCTGCCTGCTGCTCGCTACAGCTGCAATCCTTGGCAATTCAGTATGTGGTACGCTGAATTCTCTCGGATAACTTCCAAGGAAACCGGCCCAGAATCCTGCTGCAATCTTAAAGCATGTTCCATCGAGACCAATCCACAGACCCGAGAGGAATGTGTAAAAATTTAAATTGTCCAATGGCATCCTGCACCATTCTTAGGTGTGGCAAGTGAAAGGATCCTAGAGTTTCGAAGGCGAGAGTGTCTCATGACCTGGAATTGGGCAATATCCTGCAGGCTCTGCTACATACCTGTCCGACAGCCCCAGCAAAAATCAAGGCCCAGTCCCCCATCCAGGTGCATCCGGGAACGAGTAATCCATAGATGCAGATGCAGAAATATGGCAGGCCATAAAATAGATACACCAGCATCTGCAAGGAAGGACACCAAGCAACACTAGATGCCAGCACAGAGTAACAGTCAGAGATCTCTTGAATGACAACCATCCTGCAGCAAAATCTGGAACCAGAGGCCACCACATCGATCCAGATTTCAAAAACAGAATGCACAGTTTTAGCTGCATTCACACAATAACCGTAATCAGGATGGTGAATGAACCCGTTTTCTGATTTGGCTCAATCCACTAAGCCATAACGTGTCCAAACCGTAAATCAACCCACCGACCAAGCTGCGTTCACAAAACATGCTAAACTACAAAAGACCCGACCAAGGTGAGCCCTAACCAAGTTTAGCATGTCGCGTGAGCCCTTCTTCAAGGTCTTTCCTTGATTTGGCTAAGCATGTTGGGTGAACACAGCTTTTGGGCACGTAAAGTGTCCTCCTCAGCTGCAGAATTCATGGCATTAAAGAATCAGCTATCAATAACTTTCTGAAAATAGCTTTGCTGTGGATTTCAGGGACTTCCAGTGTTATTTAATGAACTGTAGTATGGGGGGGGGGGGGGGGGGAGGCAGGAAATTCAGAATACTGTGAGACTGACAGCAAGTGCAGAAGCAACTGGATATTCCTTCCCCCCCCCAAATCAGGCTAATGAAATGAAGGGGGTCTGGAGAGGAAAAATTTACATCTGAGAAATTGTGAGCTTATTCTGAGCTGAAAACAGCTCCTCTGTTGCCTGTTTAATTCTAAGTGTATTCTATCTAACTTTCTGAGCCCCTGAATAGCATCTGCAACTGATAAATGCATCTTGGGGACCTGTTAAAATTGCAGGCGTTCCCGTAAAGATTCCTCCCCGCTCGACAGAATATTAAGGAAGTGAGGAGAGCTTGTAATTGATGTACGTAATGCCCTCTAGCAAGTAAGGGAAAGATAAAAACTCTTTTGAGTTGAGCTTGACTGTCCTTATCATCAGGACATGGACATGAACCTGTTGTTGATGTAGTTTTCTTGACGACAATATGGAACTGGTTTCCTGGTGGTCTCCCATCCAAGTACTAACCAGGTCCAATCTGCTTTGTTTTCTAGGTCAGCCAAGGTTGGCTAGGTGCTATTCCCTGCCATGGACTCTCTAACACAGTGTTTCTCAACCTTGGCAACTTTAAGATGTGTGGACTTCAACTCCCAGAGTTCTTGTCACATCTTAAAGTTGACAAGCTGAGAAACACTAACAGATATTGTCATTATAATTAAAGGAAGAGGAGGCAATCAAGAGCTGCAGACCCAAACATCTGGAAGGGATTGGTTGGGAGAAGCTGCCAAGGAATATTCCACAGGGGATTCTCCCTTCCCAGACAATTTGGATGCACCTGAATCTTGGGATAGGCCACTGGATCACGAAGGTATGGTTCTTGCAGATAAACATAGTCAAAGCAGGAATCAGCTGGGCAGTCCAGAACAACCTGTAATTGCACAGAGACACAACATACACACACAGTTTGTACATTTACCTCCTTCACCCCTCCCAAACTCATGACTGACTCTAATATTCTCCTCTACTCTTCCAAAATGGGATGATTACCTCTCTGGACACCATATTTGAAAATGTTTGCATCTTCTGTATCAGAAGACAGTTTGCAAAATGCTTTATTCAGTTTTGCTTCTTTTAACGGACAGAGACTCAGGCAGGAACGAGTCAAGGGTTAAAGAGTACAGATAGTCCTCGTTTACTGACTGCCTTGTTTAGCGACAATTCACAGTTACGACAGTGATGAAGAAGTGACTTTGCGACCAGTCCTCTCATTTATGACCTTTGCAGGTTTGTATAGCAAAGGAAAGCTGAAGTAAGACTGTACGCAGAGTTGTGGCTTCACTTAGCGACTACTTTGCTTAACAACCGAGTTGCTGGTCCCAATTGTGGTCATTAAATAAGGACTACCTATAGTGTGAAACTGGGAGGAGGGGTGGGAGGAAAAGAGATGTGGGTTTTGTGAACAACCTCCTCTCTTCCAAACATTAGGGCCCCAAAGCTCAGGGCAGAAAATATACTTGGGTGAAGGTACCAGCATTCAATTTCAGAAAAAAAAAGAAAAAAGAAAAAACGATGGCCCCAAAGATTGGAGATTCCTAAATGTCCAGAGAATGGCAGAAGCCTCAAGTTCTGGTTCTGTAAGTCCATCTGTCTGCTTTGCTGTTGCCTCACTCATTACACCCATGGAAAAAGGCAGTGAGTATCGCCCCTCCTTTTGCCTTTAAGACACAGGCTCCATAGGCACGCTTTCCCACACACCATCATAGAGCGCATGAAATGACCCAGAGAGCCACGTGTGGCCCACAGGCCACAGGTCTGAGCCCTCAGTTTGGTGGCTGAGCATCTCCCTTGTATGCAAAACTTCCCAGGTTTAAATGCTGGCCCAGCTGGAAAAAATTGTTGAAGGGCTGTTGTAAACATTGCTGCCCAGCTTGGTCAACAAACCGGCCCAGTTTAAGGCATCAGGTATCATTTTACATGTGGGAAACAGTACCTTTAAAGGGAAAAAAAAAAAGATGGATGGATAGATAGCTATGATTCTGGGCATCAGCAGGGTTGGCAAGAGTCTCATGATCACGCAGTTCATCAGTCACTGTTTCCCAGAAGATCATGACCCCTCCATTAAGAATGCTTACAAAATGCAGATCAGGACTGAAAATGAATCTGCTGATCTAGACATTTTGGACACTGCGGGCCTGGCAGAATTTACTGCCACAAGAGATCAGGACTCGCAATCCAGCATTGATGGATTACTGGCTATTCAATCATGGATCGCCAAAGTCCCCATCAACTGCGTGAGTTGAACCAGCTCATCTATTACATTCGGTGCACAAATGAAACCCTGACATTTCTCGTGGGAAATAAAAGTCTGTCTGTCTAGACCAGTGTTGTCCAAACTTGGCCACTTTAAGATGAGTGGACTTCAACTCCCAGAATTCCCCAGCCATGCTGGCTGGGG